CGCTTCCTGCGGGCGAATAAGCACTTCACTCGGAATGAGCGGCGTTCCCAAATTCACAGCATCGACCCAAGAATTCGGAGAACAATGGCTGAGGGGAGAATCAATATCCAATTCAGAAAGTTCCTAGCTGATTTAGGACATATTGCGTCAGTAGTGCAGTGGTACAAAACCCTGGCAGCAGCCATGATGGGAGTAGCCATCACCGTTGTCCTTACATGTCTTTCCCTGCTTACGTGCTCTTCTAAACTGTGGGGTGGATCTTTCACAATACTATTAAAGCATTCAATAACGTAGTCAAATTTTTCTTCAAAGCAATCAAGAATGTAGTGTGCATAAGGTCCAGTATGCACAAGTAGCAGCACTGAATATGAAATATTGGGTTGTTCGAAAAGTTTCCGCCGATTTTTGACACCCCGAATTTATCAGCCGTTGTACAAAAGAACAACGACCCATCCTAATAGTTATATGTTTTCTGAAAGAGTAGATCCTTCTCTATATTCATGTTATGATTCTGTCAAAATTTGTCGAAGTTTGTCTGTACAGGACTCGTATGAAAATAGAGAACCACAACCACCATTTTCGACATCTGAAGTATTTCTCCTACCGAAAGGCCTAGAATGCGCTTAAGCCGCATGAAAGATATATGACGTTTGAGTAGACCACGCCATAGAGGAACGTACAGTGCATGACTAGTTTGCGAAATCCAAACAGAGTGAATTTGCCTTCGAAGTCCGGCAACCCTCAGGGAGACTATCGTCAGTTTAAACGACCAACTCAAAATGTTAACCGAAGCGAATCGGCACATCACTGCACGTGGAGTAGGAAAAGGGCTTAGTGTTTCGAAATTAACCATTCATGGTCATCTGCAGCCACTTGGTTTTGTAAAGCGCCTTGGTGTTTAGATATCTCGCGAAATGAGCGAGCCCAATGCGATGGACCGCACCTCCATGTGCGACTCGTTGCTCAAACGAATAAAAATGAGCGGTTTCTAAAACGCATGAGCACGAGAGACGAAAATTGGATTGTGTACAGCAATAAGAAGCGGAAGCGATCGTGGAGCCCCCTAATGAGCCGTCACAAACCTACAGGAAGATGGCGAATCCTTACTTAACAGAATGGAGGATATATTGTTCAATCAATGGATTTGTTCTTCTAGGAATTTTCATTCAAAGATGAATCAAAAATCGGCGGGAACTTTTCGGACAACCCAATAGAAAAGCCGTTTAATCAACCAGGTATATCAACGACGTCAAAATTCCTTGCACATAGTTATACATAACAAAAAATCAACACTCAAAATCAATATTAGTTGTAGTATTCACCCTAATGTACCTTTTCCTCCACACTCCAGCACCATGCCAGTAGTAAGCATCCTCTTGGATGACTTCGTTCCTGTCACCGATCGTCGAAACAAAAGTTTGATTGATCTGAGGCTTGATCTGGGGGCGACATGGCAAGTATCTCAGGACCACTACAAAGGAGCAGAGGAACTAGATTCAGCTTGGATGTTTTTTCACCACCACGTGTTCCGATGCTAACGCTGAAGAATTTGCACGTACAACATTCGCTTTCTCAAAACGGCTATCACATTGAAAGACAACTCCTACGACTCATACAACGTTTCGTGTTTCTGGGCGCAATCCATCGTGCTGCGTAGAGCCGAAAAGTTCTCGCACGAAGTACTACAAAAATGGAAGGAAGAAAAGACGGAAAAAGTGTTAAAACGGACACCGTCATAATGAAGACCGATAAAACCCGACGAAAAGTTTAAAGAATTATAGCGGAGATCGGATTTGAGATAAACAAGGCGAAGAACTTCTTGCACGAAAGTAAATGTCTTCTCCAAAACAATCGAATAAACAAGCATCGAATCAATAGCAACCGAACAGCACAAGAACTTTCCGACAAGGATTACCTAAGTTAGCTGATTTGCGTAAATTTTATTGAAGATGAAGAGCAGGAGATCAATAAAGAGAAGAGTTCACAGAAAGAGCACCAGCCAAAGCACTTTATTCGGGAAATCAATCAAAATCATAAAGATCTAGAGCGTGGTTCACGCAGAGACAAGGAATTCGCTACTCCGATTCGTATCCCGACTCCCCCGAGGCAACCAGCGATACCGGCTCATTTGGCAAGTGTGCACTGTTTGGGAAGGTGTAACCCTCACATTGAATGTCGCGAAGGAGAAAGAATTGCTCGCATTGTGGGATAGTGTAAAACAAAATAATGAATGTCCTCATCACAAAAGACAATGGGCATCATCGCTCGTCATGCACCATAATAAACTGAAAGGAAAAATAAGAAACGTTATTGAAGGTGTTCGACAAGAACTGCTTGGGAAGCCAATGACGGACAATAACAACACTTCTGCACTAAGAATGAAGCAAAAGCTAATGTAATCAGTGTCAGAGAAGTCGTCGATTGCAGTTAGTCACCTACCGACGCACCATCATTCGGACCTAAAACGCGTTCGCAGTAGGTTCAGCTCATACGAATGAATCTTCTCAAACCATAAGGTATCTTGTCAAGGGTTAGCCAGAAAGTAGGCAATCTCTCGAAACATAGGTCTTTGCCAACCGTAATAACCGTATTTTTCAGATTATGTTGTTCTACGCAAGCTCAAACCGTCGCGCAAAAGAGAGCGACGCCAACAAATTCAAGCTTCTGCGCTACTTGTTCACCTCGGCTACTACTTTCTACTTCACCACTGCCAACAACCATAACTTGGCAATATCTCAGGATAATATTCTCGCGCCAAAGCATTAAACCGACTAATCAATAATAGTGAGGTTCTACAGAGAGACTGGGTATCTAATCAACAGTTTTCGCTCAGTAAACCTCGAAAGAAATACTGCGTGATAACTCGAAAAGAGTTTATTGGCGAACAACTTATAATATTACTATAGATAAGACCACACTTCCTTCATAGTCATCGTAGCTTATTTCAAAGCCGAATTGGCCCTAGAAGAACGGCTGAGGAGACTCACGGAATGCGATGGAATGAGCGGAATGAAAGAGTGTTGTTGACACGTTCGGGTTTATCAAGTCGCCTCTCACTATCCATGGTACTCGCAGTTCCGGAAGCCCTCTCATTTGCGAAGGACATAGGAGTCACCCGGTGAACATTCCTCTATGTGGCATCTGTTGGTATCAGGCATCATCGAACACCCCGCTGACTGTTTCCCGTTACTTCTCTGATGCGCAATTAAATAATGTTTTGGGGCGTTAACCAATCCCGTCAGAAAGGTCCCGGGCATTCGACTTCCGTTCAGAATCGTAGTGGCGTATTGAATGCGTATCTGGCCTATGCAATGACTTGCAGTTTGGATGTACAAGTCAAACTTTCAGCACCTCCGCCCCGATCGTAATTTCCTACAATCAAACTGAAACGACATTTTCAATATAAATGTAATTTCAGCTACGCTCTTGAAAGGATATTTTGCCCTTGGGCGCTTAACTCTGATGTGCGATTTCCTGGAATGAAACCTAAGGGGGATTTTGGGCGAAGCAGTGTCGTTTATACGGAATATGAAAATGTTTTATTGCTCTTCCCGAGTAAGATCGTAGATGAGCGGTTGTGGACGTGCGGTGCAAGCACGAGCGTGCGTAGCTCACTGGTTTTATTATATTATGGAACCAGTCGGATTGCTCAGCTATCGCCGATCATCCTCCTTCTTATGTAATAGGGGCAAAGATTGGTGCAAACAAAATGGGATTCCTTTCGAGGAATATAAAATGATATGAACTCTTGAGTTATGGAATCCTGTCCATGAATCACCATTTCATTTTAGTAATGACAAACACTTTTTATGAGTCGGAATCGTTGTGATCAGAGTTTATACATTACAAAAAGTTTGACTTACTCAAGTGTCAGACTAAGTGAAACGTTCAAAATTGCTTCACGTCCGCGATAAATTTTCTTACCTCACCTTGCCAACGAAAATGGCAGAAGTATGGTGGCATTACTTCCATAATGATTATGAGACTCGCATTTCTTTCTCATAAAAACTCAGAATTCAGCATGAACCCTACTACCGTTCGGTTCAGGAGAACCGCGTCCTTCAGGACGAATCTCCTAGTCAAAACGCATATTCAAAAAATGCATGTTTGAAACACATACCGTCCGAAATTTTTTCCCACATTCAGGTCAGATTTACCGATGCAGCCTCTTCAAAAAAGTTTTACTTCTGCCGAGAGCGTCACTTTCTCACCTCACCACTACACATAATTTAGCCAGAGCCAGAGATGCCTGTAATTCTGTAAGATGATTTCCTCTGCCGAATTCTGTGTCCAAAACTTCCAAGAGGCACGCACGTAGCGCATACCTCTTGGAAATTTTGGATCAACTGAAGAACTGATAATCCTTTCAGCCACTCCACCAAAATGCTCTTTCTGGAAGCATCTACAGTCAACATGATCAGTTCTGTGAGAACCACCCTTTCTGATGGGCATGTTCTTGGAGGTGTTCCGAAAAACGTACGTCTGGTGTACAAACCGTTTCAAAATTTTCGCTCGAATTCAATAGCCAGATTTACCGATACAGCCTCTTCAAAGTTTCAGTCCTGCCGAGAGCGTCAGTTCCTCACCTCACCACACCACATAGATTGGCCAAGGCTAGGGATAATATAAATCGCGACTCGACAAAATGATAAGATGTAAAGGGCGTATGTAGCATTAGAATTCTGCTTTCAGGAAGTATGTACAGTTTCACGGACTTTGCTTGTTAGAAATTTTGTACACGCACATCCTCACATCAAAACTGCTGCTCAAATTCAACTCGCACATGAGACATATGAAAAACTTGTTTTTGTGGTACAGGCATTTGGAGTTGACAGCAACCTAGGAGCCTTTTCCGTGAAGGTGATGTTGTTGAAAAAAAGAGTTTGCAATCATAGAGCTATTGCTCACCGGAAGCAAAAACTCACCTTCCTTTTCTTTGGTTCAGTAGGGACATATTTCGGGAAACAACACTATCTATTGCGCCGCATGTCTTTGGATAAATGGAGGAAAAAACCGGTGAGCAAGCGAAGTTATCATCTCATCTATCAGTTATCCTTACCCTAGATCTCTATCCTATATACTTGTTCCTTCTTCTCAACTCCTTTCCGCAGGCCAAAGTTCAGCATGTGTTGGTCATAGGAGGAGATAAATTACTGATTAATTTCAGTAACATGTGAGGAAAACATAAACTGGATCTTATTCTTATCATTCCTTGCTAATAGATTACCACAAACGAAAGCCGTTGGCAACATTCAAGAATATCGAGGGAGTAGTGAAGAAGACACAAACATCCTACTCCGCGCTCAGCTTTTCGACACTGCGGTCCTTCCTGCTTTGACATACTACGCCTCGAAGACTTGCACTATACGAAAGCAGGATGAGCATGCAGTCAGCTCCATTCAACGCGCTGTGGAAAAGACGATGCTCGGAACTCCCCCACACACGCAAGTGCAGAAGGGAATTCTTAGTTCCGAGCTCCGTCAACGAGCGAAGGTCAGGGATGCCGTTGCTAACGCCAAGAGATCGAAGATCAGCCGGGCCGAACACGTTACGCGATATCGTGATGTACCCGTCGGACTAGGGCGGTTACGGACTGGATACCTCGGGACATCAAACGAACAAGAGGACGACCGCCAGCCCGATGGTCAGACTTGTTTGGGAGAGCTCCGAACGAACGGAATGTTTTGCCTCGTGACCCTAGATCCACCAGTATATTCTGGCTCCGACAGGGACGAATGAAGACGTTGCTTATGTCCGCTCGAGGAAGTCGATGGTCAAGGGACGACAGGTGATACACGTGATACTATTTACAAGACCTATCCCTTCGACATTATTCAATGGTGTCGGCTTTCGAACAATAACATATGTGATAAGGCAGAGTTCATGATAATTTTGTGTTATCCAGATTAAGACGAAAAATGAGAGTGTGGAGATTAGTGCGACGGAGGCGAAGAGAGCACGCAAATCGCTGCTTTCAAAAAGATAAAATGCCTCGAAGAGGACGTAAAAGAGGGCTGGATGAGAATTAAACTAGAAGAATGAAATAGTAGGGGTGTTTAGACGAGCGAAACAACGTGTGTCATTGCATACGTGTGGGTCCTGCTGCGAGTAGTAGAATACAGTGAGCGAAAATGCCTTCAGAAGTTCATTCATTTATAAGTATTATATAATTTAACAAAAACAGTATTAACAGCAAAGGTAACCCACCTTTTTATCCTCGTAAGGTAAAAAATTAGAAAAATGACCGCAGCAGTAGCAGAGAAAACAGAATAGGAGTGAAACATCACCTCACCACTCTCCGATCAGCTTATTGCGTGCTGAATATGTGGGTTCTGGTGCGAATATTGCAATCTGAATCGCCTCTACAATTCATCTGACATAAGATCGGCCGATGGGCGTAGCATTCGACCGATCCGGTAATAGGGCTCCTGTTATGCCCTAGCTATTGAGTTTTTGGGCCCGACAGCGTCCTTTCGGTAACCCTTGGGGGCCATTGGCTAATCCTGAGGGGAAATCTATGGATCCATTTCTGTCGTGAACAGCGCCTTTGAAGGCACAGTTCACGATAAAAATGGTTTATGAGGATAAACTTGCGGCCCACTCTTAAACCATATGTGGCGCTGTCAGGCCAGAAAACGGCCTCGATAGGGCGTTATAAAAGCTCAAGGCCAAGACAAAGCTCAGGGATTGTCCCGTGTGCACCCTCGGACGAGTTTCAGCAGCATTGTAGATGCTGCACTATTCACAAGTGAACCCATGTAGGAAGTTCAAACAATTTGTCACTTATGAACAATTTGACTCATAACGACAATGAAAGGCAGTTTTGTACAGTTCTAGCTTGATGCAGTCAGCTCTTTCCGAAACTGCAACAGCTGGAATCCCGTTCAAGTACCCCTTTCATGTTACTTCGTCATATAAACTCGTCCAACCTTTATTTTCCCTATGGTCATTACCTGAGAGGGGAAGATACAAGTGGAAAAGAGTAAAGGAACAAGGTAATAGAACGTTTCGGGGAAAACAGATCTTCTTGAAAAATAATTATTGTAAAGAAGTCACCATTAAAATTAAGGAATCACTTATACATCCATTTCCACTAACGCAGAGTACATCAGTTAAAAATAGTTTGATGCACATCCTTACGGAATATTAACATGGTCCGGTTTACCGTTTTTGTCCCACTTTGGATAAGAATGTAAAGTAGCACCAAGGAGTGCTTCTAAAAATGAACACGTTTTCTCCCAAGGGTGCACATTGTTGCTGAACCTGTTTTGGCGAATTGTTGCTTCCTTGAATCAACGCCTTGATGTCACGAGTCATAGATTTACCCTAGCGGGGACCTCGGAAAAATTGATATGACAAACTGCCCCATTGAGTCAACGCAGACGTGAAAATCTTCACTGTATTACCTGTCGGCCCATTTATCATCGATTTGCTCGAGCCCACATCAATGATCCTATATCCATGCTTGTCGCACGCTGATGAAGTTCACTGAATCCTCTTAAATCGACGGATAGACTACTCCTTGAAGTCAGAGCTTTCGCGAAAATGTCTAAGAGGGCTCGTAACCATCGTTCGTAACCCTAACGTGCTCGGTCCACCAGATCTTCCCTTGACGTGAGCAACAGCGTCCATCACTTCCGTTCGTTGCCGGAACTGCAAACTCCGAATTCCGTTCTGAATTCCTGTATATGGAGAAGCTCCAAACATTCCCTTTTCTACGGCGAATCATATCAAAGAAAATCGATAATCATATCACAATGTGATCAAAAGTTAAATACTCAATCCTTCTCGCCAGTACTCACAACTTGGCACAATGGTGCAACACAGTTGAAAGAAAGTTGAAGATCGTGATTTAATGAAGACTCATGGCAAGATCATCACAATTTTCATCACATGGGAGCAACAGTAACAACGTTGGTCAGCAAGTTGAATACTTCTCTGCTTCCTGAAGGCTCTTTATTCAAGAATTCTTCATTCGATCAATGTAGAGGCCTATGGTTTGCAACGGATGAAGAAAAAGTGTTTGCCTCCTAATCGCAGCAATTCCATTCATAAGGAGTGCCTTGCGTACGTTCCTACTTGGAATTGTTCAGGAGTTAGACGTACGATTTGCATCGTGATATGACTCGTCTGGAGATGTGGCAATGACGAGCTGCTGAGGTTTTGAATCATGTTTCAATTGGGCCATGTTTTGGAAGGAGATCTTGAAGTTGCGGAGATCTTTAATTCGCACGTAGAAGGCGGATCTGCGTTATTTTTCATCATTTTCTCTTCCAAGTTAATTATACAATTAAACCCAGCTTTTCAAGACACATGTAAGACATACACAAATTTCGGGTGAAGGAGTCATTCTGAAAAAGCTATGTTTCGAAGCATACGACCAAATTTGGAGAATTACTTCGTCCTGTATGATAAAAGGGTCCTGATATGATGATAAGGCCGTAGACAGCCAATGCTCTGTAGGAATGTTGTGGCAGACATGATCCGAGATAATTGCTTCCTTTGTCGTGAAACCCTCAATATCAGCGCGCGACATACCATAGTAGATTGACCGTTTTCCATTTTCCGAGCAAACTAAATTCTACAACTGCAATGTCTACTGTTCAGTTCTGCATATACACATGTACTGCAGTGATACATAGACCAAGACTCGAAAAAAAAGCTTTGTCAATTCCCCAATACTAGATTTACATTTTTCTCCAGAAAAGTCACCAAGTGTGGACGGCAGGGCTCGATTCCAATGTCCGGTGAACAGCAGAGGACGAAAATGAGGAAGAACCAACAAATTGGCACAATGTTAAACCCACTACCATTGCATAGCAAATATTCCCGATAGTCGAACACTACAAGTAGAGCTGTGAAATATGGTTTGGTAAGGAGATAAGATTTAGTCAATTCAACAGGGTATGCCGCATTCTGCTGCTGGCGGTCGCACAACAGAAAAGCGCTGACCACGAGACAAGTCATTCACTACGTTCCCGCAGAATAGCGACTGTAGTGTATTTTGAAAACAAACCCTTCGTTTCTTTGCGATCTTGCAGTTCATCAACGTGTTCAGACTCTATACGACTGGCATTCTCAGGGAAAGTTATCCGCGTTGAAAATGTAGTTGGGAGGTGCCAGACACTTTTGTGCTCTGCGTCTCTTCATTTATTACCCCATCTAGTCATCTCACCCATCCCGGAGCTTCTTCCAGCTTTTGCACGGGGTAATCATCTCTCGCACCCCGGAGCTCCTCCCATAACTTTTAGAAGGAGAGGAACCCATCTCTACGATCTCTATGCACTCTGCCGGTGGTGTCAGAGACGCAGAGCACAAAAGGGCGATGGCACCTCCCCCCTCCCCCCNCCCCCCAACTACATTTCCATCTCAAAAAATATCCGCCTCAAAAAGTTATCATCGTGTAACTATGCTGGGGGTACTCCGAAATTGACGGTGCAGTATATTCCGAAGCGTGCCTCGTAACGTATCTATCTTCAATCTACCAATGCACGGTGATTTACCCCTTGCTTTCGAGTCAGGTTCCCTTCCAAAATAGGTCCTGGGACCAGCACGAGTTCAATACGGCTGGAACAATCAAATCAAAAGTTACTCTGTTATTAGGACTGGGAGTGAGTTTCAAACAAAAATCAAACCAGAATGTCCCGTTCACGAGCGAACCTACCCTGCCTCTTTCCGCTTATGGTTGACGTTGTCCAAAAAAACTCATGGATGGACCATTGAAGACCATCTCCTACGATGATGACATCACTCTGATAATGGAGAGCAATGAAGCACTTCGGGAAGAGCAAAGACAGCTCCACTTCACTGAAATGAGGATGCTCATTGGGCTTGCGATTGGACCCGACTGGGGGACGAAGACGTCAGGACGGCTATGCAAACATCCCGTGTTTAGCTGAGGATGAAAAAGCGGCGTGTGCGATGGCTTGGGCATATGCTGATAAAACCACAAATCCATCCGATGAGGAAGGCAATGGAGTTCGAGGTTAGGCGACCGCGAAGCGACTCAAAGAAGAGGTGGCAGACGCGATCAGAAGGACCTCGCCGAAGCTAAAGTGACGGCAGAAGATCCCGTGAATAAAAACAAGTGAAGACAGACAAGAACAGCGAGCGGACTTTGCGACGGCGCGGAATTAACGTAGGGAGAAGAGGAAGAAGAAAAGATGAAGATGANGATGAACACGATAGATCATTAGTTTTGTTTTGATGATTCATCTATTGCTTTGTATGCTCCTCCGGTAATAGTTAATTTTTATGCTTTTTGATAATGAGTTGTATACCTTCATGTGGCAAGTGTACATGCAATGAATGATAAGTAAACACATTTACGCTATCAAAAAACGCTAATAGTCGGCTGCCGACCTTTTCAATTACCTGGCTTTCATTTCGATCTTCTCGTGGCTTGATATATTGTTGTTATTTGAGTAACTAGTGGACAGATCAAAACTTTTCTTACTGAATCTTATACTGCAACCTTAAAACTTCCATTTTATGCATATTTCCAGTTCCTTTCGAATCCGTGCCAAGAAGGCTCCTCTGGAAAAAGTGTAACTTAACAGAGAAGTCAATAGGTTTTGAAAAGAGCTGTTACGATATTCAAAAGATGGTTACATTTGTTTTGCATCAAGCAGTGATTACTGCACATGTACGGGACCTGGTAAGTAGGCACGGCGTTCTATTTATGTCGTCTCCGGGTCAGCGCGAGTTCTTGTTCGAGAGTATTGTGTTTGGCTCAGGCT